AAGATTCCACCTAAGTTCCTAGAAATGGTTACTCCTGTCAATTTCTGGAACTCTTTTATCTCCAAGACAACAGTGTCCCCTTGTATACCCTTCAATTCCCTTATTTGCTCTTTCATTTCAGACCAACTGATCAAGTGTTACATTCTCATTGCAAAGTTTATTCATAGTTCCTTGTATTTTCATTCAATCCATTGTGTTTCTTCTGGTTTTGCTCCATATCTAATTCAACTTTCACAACTGTTCAATACCACCAACACTTCTAAATTAAGTATCCCTTCCTGAGTAATGTGTCAGCTCCTGCCTCTGAGTCACAGTCTCATCTACTTTCTCTAGTCAGAAGCAGAATAGAGGTTAGCAATTTTGTTTTGTAAGGAGCTAGACTGTAAACATTCTGAAGGATACATATGGTCTCTGTGTCTGTCACATTTTTGTGTGCTTTAAAGAAAAAAATAACTAATCAAAGAATATAAAAATATCATCACACAGATACATGAGCTGGATATGACCCACTGTAATGTCCACTCTATCCTCTATGAAGGAATCACTATTGCAATTGATTTCTAAGTATATTCTCCTGTTACAATGTTTTCTTCTGTTTAAATCCCCACCTCTATCTCTCTGCTCCATTCAACAAATGTTTCAAACCTCCACTTTACATTAAGCTTAAAGGCCATCTCTGGAAATGAATTTACATATTCCATTATACCATCTTAAAACTCTCTTTGGGCCTGAAAAAAAATGGGTCAGCAATTCAAAGTATTTTTTGCTGCCCTTCCATAGAACCTGAGTTCACTTTCCAACACCCAAATTAAGTGGCTCACAATTGCCTGTAACTACAGCTGCTGAGAGTATCCAATGCCTTCTTCTGTCTCTGTACCTGCATGCATGTGCAAAAACACATGCACACATGGAGAGAAATAAATATATATTACATTCCCAACTCTTACATAACCAAATCCAAGTGCTGAAATGGTAAACATTTTGGACAAAGAATTCAAAAGTCTACTTTTACAGATGATTGACTGTAGCAAGAATCTTAAAAGTTCTCGTTAATAAGATAAAACCTGAGGCCAGTTTTTAGGGTGAAGCTGGAAGATCAGAGACAGAACAAGCCACAGCTAACCTCACCTGGCCAACTTCTCAGCTGGTCTTGTTTCCTCAGACTGGCAGCTTCTGTGTCCTCATCCCAATGGCTCTCAGCTGAACTGATGCTCAAAAGCCTGAAGCTTAACCAGCTAAAAGTTTCTAGTTTCTGGTCTTCACGCCTTATATACCTTTCTGCTTTCTACCACCACTCCCTGGGATTAAAGGCTCGCTTTCTGAGATTAAAGGCGTGAGTCACCATGCCTGTCTGTATCCTTGAACAGATGGATTTCTGCCTCTGGAATGCTAAGATTAAAGGCGTGGGCTACCACTGCCTATCCTCTATGTTTAATATTGTGGCTGTTCTGTCTCTGACCCCAGATATGTTTATTAGGGTACACAATATTTTGGGGAACACAATACCACCACAATTGACCTCAAAGTGGATTTAAAGGAACAGGTAAATAAATTCAGCCAGGCAGTTCAGGGAGAGATGAGAACTCAACAACTATGATACAAAATATAGCAAAGAAACAGAGGTTTTTGCAAAGACAAAGATACAGGCAAAGAAAAACTGAATAAATCAATATTTGAAATCAGTGGATCACTGGTCCCAGGAAAGAAGGAGGAGCTACAGGCCTGGAGATGAGCATGTGAGGCCAGATGGGGACTGTGAGTGTCACAAGTCACATCCTTCAGTGGGAATCACCAGTTACATAGCACATATGTGGGTAATGATGAGAGTGTACAATTCACAGACACATTTATAAATCCTGTAGGAATGGTTAGGAATATGACCAATGTAAAAGAAATATATGGATTTAAGGGGTAGAGGATGGGAGAGGTCAGAAGACGGAATGTAGAAAGTGATAACTAACATGAAAAGCCTTTCAAACCATCCAAAGGGAAAACCAGTACAATAGAAGCTTCC